CACAATAGACATTTATACACCATTCGATAGAGAATTTCAAGGGCTACATTTTACACTATTTATATTTGATATACGAATTATTTGAATTTTCGACCTAATGTCCGCTTGGATGCCCACTGTGTAGTGTTGCGATGGAATACCGTAGAGACTTCATTCTTTTTTTTTTGTTAGAAAGAGCAAAATGTCTAGTACAAAAATATATAAAAGAATTTGATTAGAAATGCTTCCCGAAGATCACAAAAATCTTAGAAGAAAAGACATTGTGAAATTGTTCTGCAACTTTTTCGAATTTAGAAAAAAATTTACCCAATAAGAAAGGTTATCTTTTTTAATTCGTTTATTCCGAATTTTATAATGTACGAATAGGGCACTATTGTTATACAAAAAAGAAATTTTCTACGTGTTTGATAACTGTCAAAATGAACGGTTTTATAACATCTTCTTGTATCACCGATTTTTCATCACTGTCGATCGCAGTCGAAAAAATAATTTCTACGCCGAGAGGGAAGTTGCCAGAAATTATATATTTTACATGAAAAAGAAAGTTTATTGAGTCCTCTACCAAACGATATTATTTGGAATAGAACACAACTTCTTTGTGAGATATTTTTAACAAAAATTTGTTTTCGTGTTGTAAAGGTCAAATTGAGTTTTTAATCACATCGTTTGCTGTTCAGTCTCTTGTAAGCTAGACTGACTATTTTAATATCATATGAAAGCCTTCGTTGTAATGAACAAATGTCTATATATAGCGCTCGAAAACATCGAGAGTGAGTAGCGAAAAAAGTCCAACAAATATATTTGGATAAAAAATTATGACCGAAATTGCAGAACAATTTCACGATGTCTTTTCTTCTAAGATTTTTGTGACCTTCGGGAAGCATTTCTGATCAAATTCTTATATATATTTTTGTACTAGACATTTTACTCTTTCTAACAAAAAAAGAATGAAGTCTCTACGATATTCCATCGCAACGCTATATAACAAAAAAAATTAATGCAGAACTTTTGCACCATCCGTTAATAATAGCTTTATGTACGAAACTTATAAAGCATGTAGAAGCTGTTCTTATTAACCTTTCATTGTCATCTCTTCTTTCTAATGGTTACCTTAAATATGTTCTCCTAGATTGGACGATGATTTATACAAACCAAAATCATCTAAAGCAGACACATTTAGTTCAGAATGGGAAGTGATTGATCGAAAAACACCAACAAAAGAAACTATATCTTACTCAAATTATAGTTCCAATAGTAGTACTGGATTTGGGTATGTACTTATATTATTCAATTCTATTCTTAGAGTTAACTTTATCTCTTTTATATTTACAGAGTATCATCATCATCCCGATCGAATGATACAACAACAACATCATCGTCAGCTAGTAATGATGCTCAAAAACGTTTTTCCAATGCCAAAGCCATTTCGAGTGATCAATATTTCAATAAGGATAACGATGTACGTACTTAACAAAATGAAACTTATTAGAACTACTATATATTTATATATATATCTATATATATTTTTTGCTTCACTGGCTTGAATATTATTTTATTTTGATTTCAATTAAAAAAAGAATAAAATAAAAAACATGCATGTATTTCTACTAATGAACTAACACCATTAGTGTTTAAACAAATTTTCTGTTTATATAAAAAACAAATTGTGTGTTATTTAAATTAAAAAAAAATAATTGATCTTGTTTTCATTTCTAGTAATTTTTGATAAATATCTATCTCAATAAAAAATAATTTGTTAAATATTAAACATTTATTAGTTTAAAACTGATATATTATTATTATTATTATTATTATTATTGCTCAAACGCTTTTCCATTAGCTTGCTAATGCAAAGAGGGATGCGAATTTTTCTTACTATAGTATTATTTGTTTTTTAGTACCATTATTTTTTCTAATAACTAACTGTCTTTTTGAATATGAAAACTATATCATCACTCTTTCATGTCTGAAGAAGGATACAAAAAGTTTTGAATTTGATTATTCGTCCTCAGAACTGTTTTCGATTATAAATATCAGACGATCTTGCATTCCAACAGAAGAACACAGAAGATGTTTTGACGTCTCCCAAAAACTTTATTCTCATATATGTCACTTAGATAAATAAATTGGTGTATGTCTAAATTATTGTCCTTTAAGCAGGAGAAATATCAACAGACTTCATATTCAAACCTAAGATCAATTATTATAACTGTGGGTTTGATGTAAAAACTATCCTCAAAACTCTATTTTCGGATACAATTGCATGAAATTTTTTAAATATCATAGGCCTTGCTGCATGAAATAGTATTTTTGAATGGTCTTAGAACCTAAAAAGAATCAAATTTTGCATATATTTATTTTTTTTTGCATTTTCTTCTACGTTTAGAATGATAGAAACAATGTCGTATCTCGTTTTGGAGAGAGTAAAAGTATATCATCAGCAGATTATTTTGGTGATTCACAAAACAAGAATCAACAACAACGTGGAAATAACAATAATTATCAAGGACCTGATTTAGCCACAATGAAAGCCGATTTTAAAGATGGAGTGACAAAAGTGGCGGGAAGATTATCATCAATGGCTACAAATGTTATGTCCGCAATTCAAGTAGGTGTAGGAATCTTCATTTTATCTCGAAAAATTTTATTTAATATTTAGAAGAGAAAAATTACTTTAGACATTCTCTCCATTTTAACCGTCTTCTCAAACTTTTCCCTTTTACTATGATATTTTAGAAAAAATAAATCTGTTTGTTCTTCTTCCCTGTCTATGGTAAGAACAGCTAAACCTGCGCATATAACTATTTCTTTTATTATACTACCGATATTTTATAGGGATTTTTATTTCTGCATTATATTTTTGTTTTCACTACTAAAAAAAACAAACAAATGATCTTATTTTTGTTTGGTTTAAAGTGTTTATGTTTTGGCTTTGATTTTATCATTTATTTACTATGTATATTTATTGATATTTAATCTAAAATTAATTTTATTTTTTAGGATCGTCATTGAGATGAATAAATAAAATTATTTAGATAATAAGAAGCTGAACACTTATCGTTCGATTTAATATTGATGATATAAATTATATGGTGGCATTTTCTTGTGCATGTGTGGATATTTTTGAAAATAGAAATCTTGACCTTAGTTGTGTGCTGAAAAAATGAGAAATATCATCCCCCCTCTCAAATTGTTACTTTTCGTTTCTCCGTTGTTGTTATTTTATTTTTGTTTATCTTTTAATTTCTAATTCTATCATCAATGGTGACGACAAAATAAAGATATATGTTACCATACTCTCAAAAAATTATTCTATCCTGTATTGGTGTATAGAGTTTTTCTCATTTTAACTGTCATTTCTCATATTTTCTTCTTCAAAAGATGTCATTTTTTCTCTTTGTTATTTTCTAAATTATTCAATTATATAAAAAGTAAAAAGGAACTTGTGTTGATCACACACACACACACACACACACAAATAAACACACGTGTTTCTATCGTAAATAGTCTTCTATTGTTGTGTTAAAAATACATTTGTTATTATAGTTTAGGTATTTTTCCTTTCTTTATTATCCATTAGAAAATTTTGTTAATAACAATAAGTAAAAAAAGTAATGAACAAATGTGTTGAAGTATCGAAACATATGAGTTATGTTGTTTTATATACACTAATACGAGAGATATGATTGTATTGTAAATGAGTTCATGCCATTGTCTCATTATTCAACTATTTTTCTCTGGTTTTTAAATCTAAATATGGCAAATATTTATAATACTCTTCGAGTCTTTTCATAAAAGTTTGATTTTTTTTCGTGCTACTCAACAATCTTTTTTATATTAATGATGAACAAGACATTGTTATTCATGATTATAATTTTCGGCATAAGTTTATGATGTTAATATTATCAAAAAGTAGATTTTCTGCGAATAAATTTAAATTCTTATTCTCTTTAACTTGTTTTTTGAAAATTATGATTGCTTGTCTACTTGATGCCATTAGTGTGCTCCATTGTCTTCAAATTCATTGTGCTATACTGTGAGAACGAAAGCCTATAAAGAGCTTGGAGATGTCTCATTTTAAAGAGCAAGCAGTTTTCTATAGATTGATGATAAAACAATCCTCGATAGTTAATACATCTACAGTTGTAAAATCGTTTAAATAGAGACCAGATCGTGCGAATAGCACGTCCAGTTTTTGAAGCTTGTTTACAGGCACGCAATAAACAGTCAGTGTTTGCTTTCTTCTTAATTAAATGAAAAATGTTTACTCTGTAAAAAGAAGATCTAAAGATATTCATTTATAGAATAGTGAAAAATAAAAAAGAAATGAAACTATAAATGAAAACTAACTAAACATTTTTCTTATCTACCTGTTGACTTTCATTTCTGCATGTGTGTAGTTAAATATAAATCTGTTATAAATTTTATAAATGAATAAAACGTATGTTTTATCATTACATAATAAGTTAAAACAGCGTGAAAAATATATGAAATAACCATCTGGTGTTTCTTATTAGAGGGTGATGATCTAATTCGCATGCTGTTTCAATTTTTCAGTCTGTTATGATAATAAAAAACACGTTTAAACTAGGGATTTTTTTTATATATTTTTCTATGTAGATAATCAATAGTTATTGACTAAGAAACGAAATGATAGAATATGTTCTAGAAATCTCTCTGACATATTTCTTATCAAAAGAAATCAAATTAAATTTAGAAAAACAAAATATTGACATTAATCACTCACATTATTTGTGTAATCGATTCTATCCTCTCTGTCAAGTAAAGCAATATTTGTGCTCATTGTTTGAATAATTTTTGACTAAAGATGGTTAGAGATTTCAACTTTACACTATTCGAAAGAGTAAACATGACCACATATTTTCCTGAATGTAAAAAAAAATTTGTCGAATTCTTAGATAATAACTGGAAAAGTCCTTCGAATTTCAAAAAAAATTTATGTAGATAAAAATATATCCTTTTTTTGGATGGATCGATATCTTCAAGTGTATGATGATTCTTCTCGATGTTTAGTTATAGCGTCAAATTCTTCGGGAGTCAATCCTACAGTTGGTTTTCAATGACTTTTAGCAACTTATGAACACATCTAAACATTGCGTGACAATATTTATTTTTGAAGAGAAAAACGTAAAACTCTAGTTAGAAAAGTTGAATTAGATAAAAAGAGCGTGATTTTAGCTATTTCCATCTAAATATTGAAAAAAATCAATTCAAATGACTTAAAAACTAGATAAGCTACTCAAATTTTACATACTAACACAAGATTTGCTTAGCTTTTTAAGATTTTTAAAAAGAGTTTCCAAAATAAAGTTAGTTTTCTCATTTGACTCTCAAGAAAACTTTATTAGTGAACAAATACACTTATTTTTTTCTAAAGACAATTTTGAAATCTTGTACTGCACATAACACTAAGTGAATTATTTAAAAACATGGTCATGGCTATTGTTTTATTAGACGACTAATACTAAATACTTTTAACCATTTTCAAGTTTAATAGTGTTGACAGGAGATATAACAGAGAGTTCTAGATGTTAAAATAACTCATACAACTTCATTTGTTATAATACACATTCAATAGTAGATTAATTGTGAGCATTCTATGACACACACGCATACAACGAAACAAAAAAGTCATGAAATATATTAATTCAATTTCTGTCAATCTATGGAATTTAATATTCTTTTTTTTAATACTCTTTTGTTAGCAGAATAAAAATTAATGTTTTATCTCAATCAAAATGAATATATCAAAAAATATCCACGTTCTCTTTTGTCATAATTGGTATTATATTGTTTACGTATTTTAGCATACATTTTTCGTTATTCTGACTTAAAATCTTTTTTGAGTGTTGAGTTGTTCTGTTTTATTCGCTCCTTTTTTTTTCTTTATTTCCTCTGGTCTATGTAGGCATAGAAGAATCGTATATACGATAGAATAAATGTTGAGTTAGAACTATGTGAACTAGTTATAAAGAATTTTTCTTTTTTTTTTGTTTCTGAATGAATTACTACTATTTCGATGATTAGTATTTCATTGCCAAGTTTATCGTTGAAAAAATATTTTTCTTTTTTTTTTTTATTAGTACTATTTTGTCATCATTCTTATTAGGTACAATAAACTAATAGGGAAAAAAATATTTTTATAATTTTCTTGAGGGTATTTAATAACAATAAGAATTACTCTTTTTCTCTCTCTTTCATTCTCAGTTTTAGTTTAACTTGTTTATACGAGATATCAATATTAAATCCAATTAAAATTATCAAACACTATTATGATTGTTTTTTTAACAATGATGTTATTGACGGACATTAATGTAGATAAAAAGTATTCGTTATTTCTACAATAATAATAAAGAATAAGAAAAAAAAGGAAGCAACCATCGAACACACATATATACACACACACAAACATACACAGACGCATATATGCCTATTATTTGCTCGGTTTTTTTTTTTTTTTTTTTTTGACAAAAATAAATTTTATATTAATTCTACTTTATTTTAAAAGAGCATTTGTTCCCTTAGGTAATTATCTC